AGGAACTAATGGTACCGCAAGATACTTTTCGGCCCAAGAATTCTAGGAATCTAGGATCTTGAAAGTTAGAACAAAAGCACTGGCCCCACATACCCCACACGTGTTCCCTTGGAACTCCGCGGGAGGTGCTCATTCAAACGGTCTTCAATAATATTTTACAAGTTTACGCCGATTTATTCACGTCATTTATATATTATATCTATTTACCTGGTATAGCAGCTTTAAGCTTTAGCTGGTATAACATTTTTAATATTTTATTTGAAATGCCCGCCAATTCTTTGACCGTTAGATAAATCTTCGTCTCCTAATCGTAAATTTGAGTTGAATTTCCCTGATAAAGTTGTTGGCAACAACGCTTTCCGTGAACGCTTCTCACATCGTTTCCTATGCATTCGAGAATACGGTTTTCGAACCATAGTAGAAAGGGCAGGGAAGTGAATGATCACATCGGCGATGGGATCGTTCACGTTCTCTCGAGCTCGAGAATTGGGAACATGGCGTTTTACGACGCGGCGCTTGAAAAACACTTAACATTTAATCTCATTTAAGATGGCAGACCTGGGATTGCAGTTCGTGAAGGCCACGCGCAGTTACCATATGGTTTCTGACCCTCTCTTCAGGGATTATATACGTTATAAAGCCACACGAACGAAAGTACTCAAACTACTTGTCTACTGATTACTGATTAATTTTTATTAATCTCGGTTCGATGGCTCACATAAGATGCTGGTCGCAGGTACCAGTACAACATCTGGGATTTTGATATTTCAATAAGGCAGGAAGGCAAATGCCTACCTTTTGATTACTACTAGAAGTACCAGATTGCCTGAAAATCAGCAAGTCGGCGAAGAAGACCAAACAAACTAACTTAAATGGATTTGTCAACTCTTGCATACATAAAGGAAATTACTTTTGTTCCTCCGGTCATAATTTATGGCTGACCCAGCAGCTTCGAAAGCAATCACAGATACTTGTGAGACAAATAGGCTTTACAAGAAGAAAACATATTGCCACTTTATGCATTCCTTTCATTAAAACAACTCAACCGGCGTCTGTCATAGTCTCTCTTCAGTAACAGCAGAGAAAATACATTGAACGCGCTGCACCGCTAGCGAACTTAGGAACCACTAGACATCACGAAACACAGCGTCGTCTGTTTTTATTTTCCAACATATAAAAAGTGTGTCGCTGTGTGAACACCTGAAAATCCACTGTGTTACCCAGGCCTAACCACAAGCAAACAACAGGACAAAAAATAAAATAACTTAAAAAATAATCGTTCGCGTATCTCAGTCCACACAATCGTATTGCTGTGAGCCTATGGACGTTGAGGGATGTCGAAAAAAATTGTATCAAGAAAGCATGAAAATGAAAATAAATTTCTGTCGGTAAATCCCCTAAACGACACATCAATTTGATGTGGTAGGCAATGTTCAGAATAAATGGTTCAGTTTGATTTCCACTTCCAACCAAATACATTTTTATATCACAACGTTTCTGTTGAAAGAATTACAAAAAAACCTGTGAAAGATAAGCATCTTTATAGGTGTCAACTAAACAATTTTTTTTACAAATGGCGCAGTTTGACTTCAATATTAATTATTGCGCCCAAATATTTTAAAATCTTCAAAGCAAAATACTGACCTGTTTATCACCATCATTAAAAGTTTTTTGGCAGGCATAACAAGTCGTGACTTGTTTATCGAATTGCATTTCCTCAAAGTTTGCTGGGGGAAATAGGTGATGGTAAGATCTTGCTAAATGTGGAGCAGATACCAAAGTTAACCCACACGCTCGACATTCCACTGGCAATTCGCAATACTTGCTTAAACACTGAGGGCAGTAATACCCACCCGTGGTTAATTTGCCTTCCTCTGTACTATCCACATGACTGAAAGTAATAAAAATCATGTTTTATTATTTAGCCTACCTTTGGTTGGGAATCAAAACCATATAATAATACAACAAAAATTTTCCATACAAAACACGATTTTTAGATGCTATTAGCAATTTTCGAGTCAACATATGAAGATCAGGGGGAAAAACGATTCATATTCATTCGACTTTTTAGAAAGATGGATTTTTAGTGTAACCAAGTTCTAAGGGAAATTAAAAAAGGAGAAAAGTAAACCAAAAAATTGTAAGCAAAATGTTTAGCTTGTATTTGACAATATTCATTACTATTTAATTCAATTATTCAATAAAACCGGGACACTGATCCTCGTCACTACCAGCATTATTAGCTTGAACCCTCTCAATCAAGTTTTCATAACTCATAATAAAATTAAAAGTATTTTCTTCAGTTTACTATTTTTCTTCATTTTCTTCGATTTTGACAGGTGCAGTGTTCTTTTTTATCTTGAAACTCTGAAATTTTTCGGAAATTAGTGACCCTACGAAAAATGTTTCAAATGAGAAGTCAATACCTGGGAGGGGGAAGTTTATTTGTGTCACAAAAAAAGCGCCTCCCAGATATTAACTTCTTATTTGAAACATTTTTTCCTCGGATCACTCGTTTCCGAAATATTTATAATGATAATAATAATTCCTTTTTTATGTTAATGTTCCCCTTTTATCTCAACACCCGTAGGTCGTCAATTAGGATTATACAGGGTGATTCAAAATTGGCGTCATTCCTCTAGAAGTGTTGTCTGACGGTGGCTTGGAAGTACAGAAAAAATAATTTAAAAAAATTTAATGTTATTAAAAATTCAGATATTTGTAAAAAACTAGATCAGAAGGATGGCAACAATGTTTTTCAAGGTGATCTGCCTAATTAACATTACGTAAATACCTGTACATTCGTAATTATTAAAAACTCCGATAGCCATGAACAAACATAAAGCAAAGAAAATAAGAGACAATTCTTCAAGTACTCCTGGAAGGTTCAGCTGCAATAATCTCCAATACATGTTCCTCTAGGTCTGGAAACGAAGCACCTTTAGATTGTCCACTATCTGCCTCCATTTCGGGCCACTCGTCTAGTGTGTAGCTCTTTGCTGGTGTAAGTTCTTACAGCTTCTGCTATGTTACTGTGGCATTTGCTGTTGGTTTAGATTTTGTGAATGGAGCTTCAAAATAAGCCACAGTTTGACAATGCTTGTTATTATTGACAAAGGCGGTCTACCTGTAACTATCTGTTAATGACAAAAAACATCATTGCCGCTTTGACTTTTCATCAAAAAATTGTAGAAAAATACTTTTTTAATATAAAAAATTTTCGCAATTGACAAAAAGATCGTAATTTTCTTCGAATGCTTTACTATTCAAACAGGCTACCAATCATCGTGGGATCTTTACAAAATACTGCTTAATAACAAGTTGAAATTCGATCTTCAACTGTTAATATCTTCTTAAAATTTTCGAAATTTTTTTTTTTTATTTTTCACGTATTTTTTAAGTGTTACTGTTGTTACTTTTTAACCCTTAAAAGAAATGACGCCAATTTTGAATCACCCTGTATACTTGGCCAGAGTAAAACATAAAAATGATAAAGATTTTGTTATGAAGACGCAACTTCGAATCCTGCTGAAAGCAGTAAATCCAAGAATTTTTGGTCTGCTTAAGCGGCGAAAAATTATCGGAGGTAATACCACGAGAGTTTTGAAATTACCGATAATTTTTCACGATTGCATGTTTTCCATAATTTTGCAAGGGAATCATGCTAGAGTGAAAAATTATCTGGTTAATTTTAAAGCTAGATTGGTATTTAGTGAGATTATTTATCGAATTAAATACATTTACGAAACTATCAAAAATCCTCAAAATCAATAAGAAAAGTTACTACTCTAGAAATTCAAACTGTAAAATAAGGCGGAAAATGTGAACATTTAAGCGAATTGGATACGAAAATGAATAAAAATGCACTTGATAGTGTATACGTCCAATAAGATGAGGTAAATTTACAGGTTTGAAAGTACAAATCTAACTGATTTTAATGTTACTATTATACAATTTTCAGTATTTAATAAAATATAATTCCTAACAGTTAAGAACCCGCTGGAGATAATTAAAGCGAACTTACCACATACATATTGTGAGTGGTTCGTCCGTTCCTTCAGTGTTCATCTGATGTGGAAATCCCATTTTAATTAAGCTCGCTTCCAGAGCTACGGCTGCTGGTGGTGGTTCGACTTGCTGATATAGTAAGTCTTTATAATGGCTATCATCCAAAATTATATTGTACGTGCCTTTGGTCTCATTGGCTAAAGTTCTGCAAATATGAACTTCTGCTGCCAGACCAATTATTGAGCATCTAATTCCTTCCTGTTTAAATTTCTAGAAAGAAAATAAACTAGTATGAAAATCATTACTACTTAAAAACCTATTAATAAAATTGTTGTCTCTATAGGGAACAGAGCGTACTTCCACAACTAAAATAGTTTTCGCCCTATCTACATCGTCAGTTGGTTTAAATCTCAGATTAAAAAATGTGTTTGTTTACGTTTTCCGATGGGAGCAACAATGGTTTACAGTCGATATAAAAGTAGGTACTTATGAAAGCTGCTTTGTCGGTTCGGTAATAAATTTGATATACAAGGTAGCCATTTTCTGAATCTTTGTATGGGTAACTTCTACATTTTTAAAGATAGAGAATCCCTTAAATGGTCAAAATTGGGCAGAATTCGATTGCCTATTCATTACCGTTTTCAAAATTTAGGTACCCGACTTGGTTCCTAAAATACCCTGAAAAGACAAGAAATCAACACTTTTTTAATTATCACATATTACGTAGACTGCTTAACTTAGGTAAAAAAGTTAAAACTGCCCTGGTAGAACTTTTGGCGTTCAATCCAATAAACTAGCACTCGTTGTTATAGTCAACTTGCTTTACGAGATAAAAAATAAACTTATGTTTTTTTAAATGGTAATCATAGTTGGCTGTGGGCCTTTAAAAATCCATTTTTTCTGAATTTAACGATATCTTTGACAAACTTCTTTTTGGGTATTTCGTCTCAAAAATTTTTGTCTTTAAAAAAGAAAGAATTTCCTCACGTCTTTTATTACAGATTGATAAATAGTGCTCCTATTTCGCAATAAGAACGAATTATTTATCAAAAAGTAATCAAGAACTA